TCACCAGGCCTAGTCCACCCTCAGAGTGTCAGTGTCACACCAGGCCTTGTCCACCCTCAGAGTGTCAGTGTGTCACCAGGCCTAGTCCACCCTCAGAGTGTCAGTGTCACACCAGGCCTTGTCCACCCTCAGAGTGTCAGTGTGTCACCAGGCCTTGTCCACCCTCAGAGTGTCAGTGTCACACCAGGCCTTGTCCACCCTCAGAGTGTCAATGTCACACCAGGTCTTGTCCACCCTCAGAGTGTCAGTGTGTCACCAGGCCTTGTCCACCCCCAGAGTGTTAGTGTCACACCAGGTCTTGTCCACCCTCAGAGTGTCAGTGTGTCACCAGGCCTTGTCCACCCCCAGAGTGTTAGTGTCACACCAGGTCTTGTCCACCCTCAGAGTGTCAGTGTGTCACCAGGCCTTGTCCACCCCCAGAGTGTTAGTGTCACACCAGGTCTTGTCCACCCTCAGAGTGTCAGTGTGTCACCAGGCCTTGTCCACCCTCAGAGTGTCAGTGTGTCACCAGGCCTTGTCCACCCCCAGAGTGTTAGTGTGTCACCAGGTCTTGTGCACCCCCAGAGTGTTAGTGTGTCACCAGGCCTTGTTTACCCTCAAAATGACAGCGTGTCACCAGGGCTTGTCTATCCTCGAAGTGTCAGTGTAAAGCCAAACTTTGATGAGCATAATCTGAGAATGGGAGGACAGTTGGATATCCGTGGCGAAGCTCCAGGTGAGTTTAGCAATTGTGTCTTTGCTAATACGTGGCATTTTACCACATTTATTACTAAAATATTACATTCATGACATAACTGTTAGCCTTCATTGTAACTAAAGGCAAGGTGTCTTGTTCTTTAATCAAGAGGTTTTTTTATGTAAAATATTTTTAAGTGGGTCAAACGCTTGTGGGTATAGATTCCCTTGCATAATAATATGTTAAATAGTTGTTGACTTCGACGAGAATTTAAATGATCTGGTCAGGGTTTCTTATACATAAGAAGCACAGCCGCGCACCGCCGTTATCAAATTTAATATCTCCGTTGTGAAAATGTTCCTGTATTTACCCGTCGTTGTCAAAATAGTGTCGACCCAAAGATAAATAGATCACAACGTGCTTCTGACTATATACAGGGAAAATCGTAATGAAATTCACAGCAACGTTTCTTTTTGCGTGCCGGCACACTCGTGTGTCATTCCCGATTGCAGCTTTTTTCTCAATTCTAGGAAAGAGTTTTGCTGTCTCTCCCTCATACCAGCGGTGCCCACCCACTACATATACAGCAATGAGCATGCATGCCCCACGCGACTGAAACAATCAGTGCACCCCCCTCCCCGTACTTCAATCAGTGCCGCCCCAGCCAGCAAACACAGAATTCTCACACATTCACGCAAAAAAATTATTACTGTATTTAACTACTTAACTTCATACTGTATGTAACACTTCAGAGTTAAAGTTTTTATGGCTTAAAAATTAATTTTGTCTTCTTTTCTTCGAATGCTAACAGAATATATGTACTGCAAATACATATTTTAAAGCCAAATATTCAGAAACTGGTCATGTTTGAAAATATTCTGAACCTCCAGCATTATATTCCCAAAATGGCCCATTATTCAGCAAAATCTTACTGAACCTCTAGCAAGCTGGTTGAACACCCATGGCAGGTCCTAGCCGAGTACAACTAACAGAGTAAGATTTAAACTAAAAAGTGAAATTTTATTTTCAGGGTGCGTCAAATGCAGTCTAAGACATTCAAATTTTTTCATTTTTGCTGGGGGAGAACCCCCAGAACCCCTCTCTACCTCTCATCATCCCTTCCAACCCCACCCCCACCCGCGGCCGCCTGCAGAATCCGCATTCGTGGCTTTGAATCCATCATGCATATTTTTTTCCAGAAACTGGCCATTACCTCTAATTTTCCCTCAGAAGAAACCCTGCTGCTGATCTTATAACAATGTCTTCTGTACAATATACGTACAGGATCATCATATCTAACATATTATATAAAGATGTCATAGTAACACGTAATTTAAATCTTAATTTTGAAGGCTTTGCAAAAGCGAAGGTCGTCTCTCCTAGGCAAGGGGACGAGCGGCTAGTGGACAGCTTTCAGATGATTGAGCCCGTACGGGTCGGCAACGGCAGCGTCCTCTCTCCCATCAAGATTGACCTCCTGCACTCGTTCGGCGAGGAAGATGCCATGCAGGGAGAGGTAGGTCCTCTGTGAATGCTATCAGTGAAAGACGTGCTGTGGTCTATTTGTTGGGGAATTAATTAACGACAATGACGGCGTTCGAAAACGGGCGTGAAGTGCATGCGTCGACGTTACTACCGAATAACATAGATTTAGAATCATGCGGCCAATCAGGTTGCACTCTTTGGCAGGTCGCACGTCCAGCCATGTTGCTTGCTGTTGGCACGAGGTAATACAGGGGAATTACAAACCATGCAGTTGATTAAGTAATCAACTGATACGTGAAAAATTTCGTTCTCAGATACAGCTGCACATCATGCATATCTGCATATCATCATATATTGGTATCAGCTAAAACACCTGCAAAATTTCGTTCTCACCTGCAACTACACGTGCAGCCAAAGCAGCTACATCTTTTTGTTATCGACTAATTCCTACAAACCTTCATTTCTCAGGTGCAGCTCAGATAATGCAGACAACGAGGCTGCACTCTTTTGTTATCAATTGATACATACAAACTCGTTCACACTTGCAACTACACGTGCAGCCGAAGCAGCTACGTCTTTTCGTTATCGACTAATTCCTACGAACCTTTGTTCTTAGATGCAGCTGCAGATCATGCAGCCGACGCGACTGCACTCGCTCGGCAGCATGGAGAACGTCGACGACCAGCGTGCTCGGCCGCCGCGCGCGACCACGGTGCTGCACTCTTTTGGCAGCGCGGAGAACGTCGGCGGCACTGCGGCGGCGGCGGACGAGGAGCTTCATTCGCTCGCGAGCGCCGACGACCTCTCGAAGCAGTCGTCGTCGGGCGGCAGCGCGTCGTCGTCGCAGCCGCTGCCGCTGCGCTCGCTCGCCAGCATGGAGGAGCTGCCGCGTGGGAGGCTGTCGCCGAGGCGCGGCGCTGCGAAGACGTCTGCCGGCGGCGGCGCGCGCTCGCTCGGCAGCACAGAGGACGTGTCACCACGCGGCGCACACGCCATCATGCTGCACTCGCTGGACAGCATGGAGGACGTGAGGTAAGGACGGGTGTAGCTCGCGTGAGGGAATTACAGGTGAGGCGAGCATGGGTATTCCACACGTGGGGTGAGCACAGGTAAGGTAAGCTTGGGTGAGGTAAGCACAAGTAACCTAAGCTTGGGTGAGGTGGTGAGGCTAAGCTTGGGTGAGGTAAAGCACAGAGTAACTAAGCTTGGTGAGGTAAGCATTGGCGCTGCAGGTAAGCTTGGGTGAGAGTTATAAGCACAGTAACCTAAGCTTGGGTGAGGTTGAGCACAGGTACCTTAAGCGTTGGGTGAGGTAGCTCTGGGTGGGGGATGAGGGAGCCACAGGTTAACTAAGCTTGGCGTGAGGTAAGCACAGCGCTTAACCTAGCTTGGTGAGGCTAGCTTGGGTGAAGCGTATAGCACAGTACCTAAGCTTGGGCTGAGCGTAAGATGTGTGGTGAGGTAAGCACAGGTAACCTAAGCTTGGGTGAGGTAAGCTTGGGTGAGGTGAGCACAGGTAACCTAAGCTTGGGTGAGGTAAGCTTGGGTGAGGTAAGCACAGGTAACCTAAGCTTGGGTGAGGTGCGCACAGGTAACCTAAGCTTCGGTGAAGTAAGCACTGGTGAGGTGAGCACAGGTTAGGTAAGTACAGGTAAGGGAAGCATAGATGGCACATTTCTGACAATCACCCCCAGGTTTTATACACAGGACTGCGAATATGCAGTGTTTGTGGCCACTAGTTTCAGACGCAGTACATGTGCACAATAGCTGTTCCATTTACTCCGATTTTCTCCCCATTTAAAGTGGCAACCATGGGCAAAAGTAGAAAAAGACTAAGAGTTGTCCGAGTTCGCCAAAGATGATTGTCGATGGAATCAATGCGGAAAGCTCTGTCCGAGACGAAAGGCCATAGAAAGCGAAATGCGGCCTTAGAACGTTGCTCCACAGACCAGCCAGGGAAAAAAAGAATGAGTGATGTCTTCTCTGATGGCGGTTTCTAAGGCCACATTTTATAACATATTTATCTGCCACTGGCTGGGTAAATGCCACTTTATGATCTAAATTAGAAATCTTTACCAAACGTTTATTTATATGATGGTGGATCTGATAAATGCTAGTGTACTTACTGTGCGTTTTGAATACAGAAGTGATTATTTGCTTACTTATTCTTCGTTTCGTCTAGTTGCAGATACCGGAGTCGAGAAGAGAGGGCAGGACTGCCAAAGTTTGGAACTAAAGAGGCAAATGAGTGGGGCTGGCCAGCCATTGACGTGCAACAGATGTTACCAGACCTCGCGAGAAGTGAGTCTGACCCAAATACAGTTAAAGGTGTGGGTTTTAACATCATTTACAGAATGATAATGAAAGAATCATATGAAGCAATCGATAACAGAAACATATGAAGATGGTTGTCTCGTGCAACAATTAATTGTCATGATGAGACATGTTGCTTAATGTCGCCACGTTAAAACGAAATTTGGGTAATGGGGGGGGGAAAAAAAAACCATTTATTTTCGATATGAAGAAAATTAAAATGAAGCCGCTGTGAACAACTACGGCATGGACTTACTGCGTGACACACTCTCTCTCCTTTAATTCCTCCTTTCCTCACTTCTCTTTTCCTGCTCTCACTATCTTTCTCTCTCTCTCTCTCTCTCTCTCTCATCTCTCTCTCTCTCTCTCCTCTCTCTCTTCTTCTCTCTCTCTCTCTCTCTCTCTTCTCTTCTCTCTCTCTCTCTCTCTCTCTCTCTCTTCTCTCTCTCTCTCTCTCTCTCTCTCTCTCTCCTCTCTCTCTCTCTCTCTCTCTCTCTCTCTCTCTCATCTACTCTCTCTCTCTCTCCTCTCTCTTTCTCTCTCTCTCTCTCGCTCTCTCGCTTTCTCTCTCTTCTCTCGCGTCTCTCCATCGCTCGCTACCTCCCTCCCTCCCTCACTCTCTCCTTCCTCTCACAGGAATATATATATAAATCATATATATAGAAGGGAATAATATTACTATATATAATCATATACTATCTCTCTCATTCTCACAGTAGGAAGGCGTAAGCGTAGCTCCTTCGCTCACGCACCTGAGCAATTCAGCAGCCAGCAGCAGCGGCAGCAAGAAGCTCACGGCGACCGGGCAGCGGCGGTGGCGGCGGAGGATCCGCCGCGGGGGCGCTGCGACGACTCGGTTCGTCGACCGCAATGCGTCTGAGGTGCAGGCCGCTCGTGCTCGAGTCGTACGACGAGGAGACGGTCGCGCTCGCCGTCGTCCGTCTCGAGACGTTCGTTTCACGCGCCGAGCCGGGCGCTCTCGCCTCGCCGCTGCCTTTCCAGCATGCTGCAGGCCGTCAGCAAAGATAGCCGCCAGCAACGGTCTACCCGTGCAGGCCGACTCGTGGTATACTCAGTCGTCAGTTAGTCGTTAGTGGCAGGCCGACTCACGTGCAGTACATCAGTGTCGTTAGTCGTTAGGTTGGACAGGGTCCGACTTCGTGACGTACTCAGCATCGTTAGTCCGTAGTGGCAGGCCGACTCCGTGAGTAACTTCAGTGTCGTTAGTCTGTTAGTTGGCAGGCCGACATCGTGAGTAATTAGTCTGTTAAGTCGTTAGTGGCAGGCCGACGTCATTGAGATAATTAGCTCGTTAGATCGTTAGTGGCAGGCCGACTCATGAGGTAATCAGTCGTTAGTCGGATTAGTGGCAGGCCGACTCCCGTGAAGTAACGCTCAGCGTCGGTTAGTCGTTCAGTGGCAGGCGTACTCGTGAAGTAAATTTTAGGTGCTTAGTCGTATAGTGGCAGCGGGCGATCGGTGAGTTAACTCAGTTGTCGTTATAAGAGCCGTTAAGTGGCAGGCCGACTCGTGAGTAATACTCAGTGTCGTTATGTTGTTAGTGACAGGCCACAACACAACACCACCAACTCGTGAGTAATTAGTTGAATCTGTTGTCAGTATAGTGGCAGGCGACTTCAGTGAGTACAAGTGTCCGTTAGTCGTTAGTGGCAGGCTGACTTCGTGGAGTATACTCAGTCGTCTTGTTAGTCGTTAGTGCAGGCCGACTCGTGAGTATACTCAGTGTCGTTAGTCGTTAGTGGCGGCCGATCGTGATTAACTCAGTGTCGTTAGTCGTTTAGTGGCGGCCGACTCGTGACTATACTCGTCAGATCGCTTAGTCGTATTAGCTGGCAGGCCAACTCGGCTGAGTAATTGTGTCGTTGAGTGTTAAGTGGCAGGCCACTCGTGACGTAATTAGTCGTTAGTGTTAGTGGCCAGGCCGACTCTGATGAGTAATCAGTCGTTAGTTCGGTTAGTGGACAGGCCATATTCGCTGAGTTAATTAGTCTTGAGTCGTTAGTAGCAGCTATTATCATGGTATCTTTCGCGAGAATGATCATGATGTTTCAGCACTTAGCCAAGACGACTGTTAGTAAATCAGTGGTGTCGTTATAGGACAGACTCTCAGAAGGTAGAATTATCACTGTAATGCGCAATCGCCATTTCATCTTTCTTCCCTCGTTCTTTCTTACCTGTGTTGACATCTGTAATGGGGATGGTTCGCACCTACTGAAATCTGGCTGCTCCTGTGAAGTCCAGCATGTGGCTTTTGCCTGAACGTCTGAATATTTTCTGAAGTCGACGTCCTTGAAGTGTTGTTATAAAACGTAAAATATGGTATTTTAGCATGAATAATATGATGAACTATATTATACTATATATATATATATATGATATACTAATATGATAGATATATAAATATATCACTAACGACTGTAACGAATAACTATTCTTCATCTTGTTATTTGCCACAGTAACTGCAGTATTCCTGGAAACTGATATTGTCGAGTTGGCAGTCATGTGTCTTGAGACAGTTGCCTACATCATGATGTCATCCTTTGCATCTTTTTTGCCAGGCTGCTTCACAAAGCAAGCTGCGAGCGTTTTATCACACATCCAAGATAAAGCATCACAAGTGCCAGAATATATACCACTGAAATACATCATTACTGTCTCGTGTTACTGGTCTGCATCATGGGTGCCTCTTTACTTTGTATTAAACGACGTTGCTACATCATTCATCTTTCATTGCTTGACTGTTATAAGCTGTAGTCACGTGTAGGTTTTCCTATTGGTTCAGCATGATTTTTCAAACAATATGTGGAGTGCTTTGGCTGATTTTAACGCAGGCTAACCAGTGGCGCACCATTACGTTAATCTTCCTGGAGGTACGTTACAAGTTCAGTACTTTTATACAGGAAAGCGAAATGTTTCAGAGATACTAGTAGGTGGTTTCCTGCGTAATTTCCAATGGCTCATCATTCCGTGATTTTTGATTTTTTAAAATTTTTGATATTTCATTGACTACTATAATTAAGGCTTGATACCTAATTTGCACAAATCGCTTTAACTCTGTCTCTGTTGGCGATTATGATATTGCCTGTAACTATAATTATGCGATCGCGCACTGATTTTCAAAAAACAATTTAATTATGCTCATTATTTCTGTAAGCAAGCTGTAATTATTAAACGCCTTTTTTCATCACTTAAGCTCGCACTTTGACATGCGTCAAGAGTGAGCTATTATCATTGGTGGTTCGTACGTCCGGTCCGTCCGTACCTCCTTGTACGTCCGTCTGGTTTGATATTTTTTTAAATTATGCAAATTAGGTTAGTTTGCCAATTTTCACTATGCATCTTTCAGTGTCTGCCATTACGGTCAACGATAATAAGAACGTTGACCACATGTTTCAAAAATTGTATACAGTTGTTACTTCCTATGGGAGAGATGTGCACGTCTATTTTATGTGGCACTGCCAGTTGACCCTACTTCTCGTAGCCACGCCCACTTGTTGGCAAAATGGAATGGCCATAAGTCAGTTCAGGTTCACCGATTTTTGTCATTTTTGGTATTGTGAATGAATTAGCTCTGGCCCCAAAAAATAATCACACAAGGCATTTTGAATTTTGTTTTTATAATTATGCAAATGGGAGGTAGATTTCAGAAATTTACTTATGCTTCAGTGTCTGCCTCGGTCAAACGATAATCAAGAACGTTTGACCACATGTTTAAAATTGCATACAGTTGCTACTCCTAATGGGACGAGATTTGAACGTTCCTATTTTGGAGCACGCCAGTCGACCTACTTTCGAGCCATCCCACTTTTATGCAAAAACGCAAAAATCGGCCTTCTAAGCATTCATATCGATTTTGGTTTTTAAATTTACTTACTACTAATCAGTCCTAACATGTAATAATTGTGTTTTTAGATTCTTTGTTACAGTTATTTGCTTGGAATATTTTTAATGCTTTATTTGCGCCGCATTAATCGAAAACCAAATGGCAATCATTAGAGCGTAGCACCATGTCTCTCGCCTAGAATTCAGACTTTTCAGATCTGAACATTTATTTTAGCATCAAAAAACCCTGAAACAAAGCTGTGAAATTTCTATTAGTATAAAACAGAGAATAAGGACATTTTATCACATTTCGGTCCATCATAAATGAAACACTTGCCAAATTTTAAATATCATCTCCCTGTTCTATCACACCCAAAGTGAGCTATAGTGTCATTGACACTTTTATTTCACTTGCGCTCATCGCCTTACGTTCCCATTGCATGTTTGCTTCACTGTGATTGTAGGCTCTGAACGACAAGAACACGCGCATTAGCGACGACAAGGTCGTCAGTCTCCTTCACAACATGGCCGTCTACATGGAGTGCATGCCACTAGAGGGCGGGCCGTGGAACAACATCCTCTCGTTGTTCGACGTGTTCTTCCGAGCCTTGCCGGGCATGCTGCCCTCGGAGATAACCGACATGACGGATACGTTCCGGATTATCGCTTCTGTGCTGAAGATACCGGGGCTCAGTCAACAGAAGGTAGGCTATATGTGTGTGCGCGTGTGCGTGCGTGTGTGTGCGTGCGTGCATGCGTGAGCATGAGGGTGCATGTGTGTGTATGTGTGTGTATGTATATGCTTGTGAAATCTGTCTGGCAGAGCCTGGGTAATCGGAAAGGTGTGTGTGGTACAATTAACGACAAAACTTAATTACACTCTCTTCACTCTTTCATTTCCACTCTCTCTTTCACTAGACTTGTGCAACACTTTTACTGACATCGTAACTGTCCGCTGTTTATCAAATAATTAAATAATGAAGACACTGGAAAAATTATATATTAGTTGGTTATTTAGTGTATTGTAGGCATATGGCATACTCTCTAATATTGGTACCCTTACAGCATTGCATACATTTATGCACACACGCACACCAACATGCACACCGTGTGATGTGATCATATGTTCCTGAAGGATTTAAAGAACCCTATATTACAGTATAGCCAGTATCTAACTTAAAAATACATACATTTTCGCGTGATTTTGATATTCCAACAATTTAAACTTTTAGAGCAAGCTGGAGCCATTCTCTCTTTCACTAGACTTATGCAACACTTTTACTGACATCGTAACTGTCTGCTTTTGATCACATAATTAAATAATGACGGCATTGAATTGATTTTGATATTCGAACTGTTTCAACTTTTAGAGCATCCTGGAGCCATTCTCGAAGCTCATCAGCTTCACGATACAGAACTGTGCGTTCAAGCTGAACCACCTCATGGAGCTGTGCCTGCTGTGCAACAGAGCATTCACCAAGGTGATCCCTCCCCCCATATTACACGATAACGTGATTATGATATATCATATTGATGCTGGTGCGTGGAGCTTTGTTATGTGATAGTAGGCTGTGCACTGCATTGCGATGCTGGTTGTCGATGCTGCAGTGATCCGTCCTACCGACGTGTGGTGCGCGTACTGTGAATAATAGTGCTGTTGTATATACATTAAACATGCTTATACGATTGTGTAGATGTGTTCATGCTAGTAAAAATATTATTCCTACTGTCAATGATGACAACGAGGATTGCTGCTTCTGCAGTAGTAGCATACTGCTACTACCACTGATAAGTATAATAATAATAATAATAACAATGTAATACTGAAATGTAAGGATTATTACACCTTGATATTGTCGGTGGGTGACTTACTGTGTAGAACAAACGTTATCAATGATTATGTTATCTCGATAACACATGTTTATCCTGCATGCTTTGTAGGAGCGAGACAGACTGCTGCTGTCCCGAGCGGCTGTGTTTGAACTCGTGCAGGCTCTCAAGTTCAAGACAGTTCTTCCCGATGAAAACCTCCTTCTTCTAGTGCAGGTGTGTGACGTGTTAAATAAAAATTACGTAAAAATTAATTGCAAACAATGATCGCGTAATGACACACGTCAATAAGAGTACGTAAATCCTTGAAAATGGTGCTCATTGCGGTGGTGGTTTACCACGAGTGAGCTATTCTAAAACTAACTGCCAAATGTTCGGCTTGTACTCACGGATCAAATATTTGTATTGATTGTATTTGTTTAGCTGGTTGTGTTAGATGCCGGAGGAACACTCAGCCCAACAAATGTTGCAGAAGAGCTCTTTGGTCGAAACTATGACCCTCATACAATGGTGAGGAAATATTGTACAGCCGCATCTGTGGTCGTATTTGAATATTTTTTGTTATTAAAAAATATCCATGATTTACAGTGGTGTGATATTATTACCTATAGTGTGAATTTAGTAACATGGTAAATATCTAAATTTAAATTGATGTTTAGTGTGTTTATATATATGAACATGAGGGAGTTGTAAAGTTTATATATATTATTGGAACTGAAGTCAGGTAACATAATTAATATTTTTCACTAAAAAAATTATCATTTTTATCACAGATCAGCACTAATGCAGCTGACTGTATGAAACACAACTTGACTGATTGCATCGAGTTCATTTCTGACCTTCACACAATCTCCAAGGTCAAGGTAAATTCTGCTTGATAAATCTTGGGGAGTTCCTTTACATAAAGTGGATATATATTTATCAATCATTCGGTAAACTGCTAATCACAATCTAATTATTGTATTAGACTAGATTTATTACAATATCACAGTCATGTCTAAGCTGAGTTACTCGATCCATTTCTTGTGATGTCAGCTGAGTAGTCACTGCAGTTATTGTCAAGTTCTTATACGATATAGAGCTATATGGCAGGATGTGATGTCAGTTGGGTAGTTACTACGGTTATTGTCGTGTTCCCACGTCCTGTAGAGCAACATGAAAGGTGGTTCGAACACGGCGTTGAACGAGGACACGCTCGGTGGACTGCTGAAGGCGGGAATCTCGCAGTACGTGGCTCTGGAGTTCACGCGCAGCAGCTCTCGCGACTTCCGCGCCCACAACCGATACCTACCCTGGCTCTACCATCCGCCGTCAGCAATGCAGCAGGGGTATGCGTCGACAACAACCTTTATACTAGTGCACAGATGCTGCGGGTGCTAATGAGCCATAATAAATCATTACTGTTGTCTTGAATGATATCAGGTGTGAATAAAAAAATCGTTTTTGATTAACTCCTGATGACACACGACATCATTGTCAAATTTAATCAAAACATTAAATCGTAAATGTTAAATATATACATATAAGAAATATATATATATATATATACAAGCATATATATATGATATACTTTTGATCCTAGTAATATTCATCTGCTTATTATTCTCACCACCACCATCACCGCATTTTAATACGTAGATTATAGCACGTGAAAACGCGTTTAGTCACGATCGATGTCACATCTGATTGGTTTCGCACACGTCTCTCCCGCTCGCAGCCCGAAGGAGTTCACCGACTGCATCGCGCACATCCGCATGCTGTCGTGGCTGCTGCTCGGCTCGCTGACACACTCGGCGATGACGCAGTCGCAGGGCTCCATCCTGTGTCAGCCGATACCCATCGAAGCGAGCACGCACATAGCCGACCACGTGCTCGTCATCCTGACGGGCTTTGCCGAGCAGAGCAAGCAGTCGGTGCTGCACATGTCGTCGCTCTTCCACACCTTCATTCTCTGCCAGGTGAGCGAATGTTACAATGCGCGCTCACGGGTGGCAGGACGTTATTGTCACACGTGTGCGCGGGTGGCAGGACGTCATTGTCACACGTGTGCGCGGGTGGCAGGACGTTAGGTAAGTACAGGTAAGGGAAGCATAGATGGCACATTTCTGACAATCACCCCCAGGTTTATAACAGACTGCGATATCAGTGTTTGTGGCCATAGTTCAGACGCAGTACATGTGCAGCAATAGCTGTTCATTCTACGCCGATTTTTCTCCCCATTAAAGTGGCAACCATGGGAAAAGTAGAAAAAGACTAGAGTTGTCCGAGTCGCCAAAGATGTTGTCGATGGAATCAATGGAAAGCTTGTCTGAAGAACCGAAGGCACATAGAAAGGAAATGCGGCCTAGAACGTTGCTTCCACAGACCAGCCAGGAAAAAGATGGTGAGTCTTCTCTGTGCGAGATTTTAAGGCACCATTCTATAACATATTTATCTGCACTGGTTGGGTAAATGCCACTTATGATCTAATAGAAATCTTTCCAACGTTATTTATATGAAGGTGGATCTGATAAATGCTAGTGTACTTACTGATGGTTTTGATACAGAAGTGAATATATTGCTTACTTATTCTCGTTTCGTCTATTTGCAGATCCGAGTGAGAAGAAGAAGGGCAGACTGCCAAAGTTTGGAACTAAAAAGAGGAAGAGTGGGCTGGCCAGCATTGACGTGCAAAAGATGTTACCAGACCTGCGAGAAGTGAGTCTGGACCCAAATACAGTTAAAAGGTGGGTATAACATATTACAGAATGATATGAAGAATCATATGAAGAATCATACAGAAACATATGAAGAATGGGTGAACAATTAATTGTCATGTGAGACTGTGCTATATGTGCCACGTTAAAACGAAAATTTGGTAATGAACATTCGATATGAAGAAAATAAAAATGATGTGAACAACTACGGCATGACATTATGTGACACACTCTCTCTCCTTTAATTCCTCCTTTCCTCACTTCACTTTTCCTGCTCTCACTATCTTTCTCGCTCTCTCTCTCTCTCTCTCTCTCTCTCTCTCTCTCTCTCTCTCTCTCTC